TATTTTTGTCTGTGTGGGATTTTTTTTTCTACAAAAATACTTTCTTACATCATTTTTTTTTGACACATTGTAACTCCACATCAGATGTAACAGCAGCTCTCCTACCTCCACACTGCAGACAGCGTCCTTATAACAGCACTGTTGTTCAAAGGTTTCAGCATCATTTATGGCCTTGTAATACTTTAAATCTATTTTAATTCTGGACCTCAAGAACGCTTTAAAACTCTCAATCTCTTGACCATGTACATCAGGGGTGTCAAACTCAATTGCTGGAGGGCCGAAGCCCTGCACAGTTTAGTTCCAACCCTGCTCCAACACACTTACCTGTAGGGTTCAAACAAGCCTGAAGGACTCAATTAGTTTGATCAGGTGTGTTTAATTAGGGTTGGAACTAAACTGTGCAGAGCTGCGGTCCTTTTGGAACTGAGTTTGACACCTGTGATGTACATCATCTATTTAGTTTCTTCTTGTGATAAGTAGAGCAAGTTTTGCTTGAGCAACTAAACAGTGAATGAACTGCTATTTCAGTTTGTGTTTCTGACTATAGCCAGCTCCAGAAGAAACTTACATTGAGTCAAATTCTCTCCACATTTCAGGAAAACTCTGCTCAACATATCAAACTATTGTGTTAAACGTGTACAGTCTCTCTATGTCCACAGAAGAGACACTCGTCATGGACACTAGAGTGAACAACACGTATGAAATCATTCACTGCCACAATCCCCTGCAGAATCCTCCATTGTAAATCCCCAACACATTTTGTCAAAGTTGGTTTATACAAAACTCTCCACACTGGTTTCCCCCCTAAAGTATCATGAAATGTCCGTTATTTCTGTTAATCTGCCTTTGTCACCTCTCTGATCCGTAATAATAATAATAATAATCATAATATTAGACATTTGTTTGGACATGATGTGCTCTCTTCAACAAGCAGCTTTTCTCTTCATTCTGCAGGCTGTTCGCTCTGGCAGTTGGTCAGATATTTGTAAGCAAGCCTATAATAAAAAGCAGAGTTATTCTGCAGTCAGGTGATGTGCTCCATCAGGCACAACAATCTTGATAGTATCTTGTAGTGTGCTGTGCCGCAGTTTTCATATCTTGTAGTAACATATTTTTAAAAGTGTACTGATTATATTTTTAAATATAGCCTACATAATAAGGCACAATTTAAACTTTCAAAACATCATGTTTTTCCCACCTCGGGCATTAAAGCCTTTAAATTATTTTCTCTTTTATTCTTAATTGGGCAGCCATTATTCTCAACCCTGTAATAGACTAAACTGAGTTGGTAATAATAGTATTTTACAAAGCTTTTGCTATAAAACCAACATTTCCCTGTTGCTCACATGTCCCTCAAATCAGTTTAATGGCTAAAATATCACATTTTTAATGAGTTTTAGATTCATATGTGATTTAAGTTACAATTATACATACTTGTGCATTCTGTGGTCTCTTAATTTTTAAAAAGTTTTACATTTAGATGTCTTACCCCACCCACATAATTACAATGTTAGGCCTTAACATGCTAGTTGGTTCTCAGCAATATTTTTTTCTATATTTAATTGTTTTCCTTTAAAAATATGAATCTCACAGGGTGGAGAATACAGTGACGGGTTTAAGACCATAACAGGGTTAAGAGGACACTTAAATTTCAGTTTTAATTTGTTTTAGTTCATTTGAAATTACATCTAACACTTACTTAACATTTATTTTAGTAAAACATTTAGCAAAGGCATTAATGAGATAAAGGCAAACCGGGATGAAATGAAACTTCATTAAACCAAACCACAGTCAGAATTCAAAAAATTGAAGTGCTGCAGGTAACTGGACTGTTAGTAACCTTTAAAAATGCTGATAAAGGCCTGTGTTACCCAATATATTGCTCAACAGAACCTACAGTAAACAGAAGCAACAGGTAAAGTCTTGTCTAAAACTTTATTTCCTGGAACATAAATAAAAACTACAGCAGAAAAGTTCTAAATGAAATTGTTAATGAAAATACTCAATAATGTTAATAAAAAAATAAAATTATATAGCCAGATAGGCTAATCTGCTTATTTCAGAAACTGCTGATCTATTGGGATTTTCACACATAACAATCTCTAGGAGAGAAAATTATATAGTGAGCAACAGTAACTGAAATAACCACTCGTTACAACCGAGGACTGCAGAGGAGCATCTCTGAACACACAAAACTTCCAACCCTGAGGTGGATGGGCAGCAGGAGGGGATTCAATCAGGGATTCCAAAACCTTTTGTTAGCCTAACCCTCTGTATCTATAATATTAATATGAGTTATGCCCTCAATGACCCCCTCTCTAAAGTTGGGTAATTGTCACATGACATAGAGATAAACAAATGAACTAATACATAATTTAAGTATTTTTTTGTTCTGATTTTATTAGCTTTACATAAACTCATGATGAAACTTGTGACACTCAATATAAAATCTGCTGCTGGTACGGGTGCCGTGTCTGACATTAAATAGTGTCAAAGTTTAAGTAAAGCACAGCTTCAAATATTCTATCAGTAACAATTTTTAAAAAAATGTTTTTTAATGAATATTCTTGATTAATTAGGTGAATATACCCAAAACAATGACATGTGTGATGGGGTTGAGTTTTTAAAGCCGAATGTCCTTTGCTCCTTGTGTGGTTTAAAAGAGAATGCCCACATGGCAGCAATTAAACAAGAATATGTTATATTGTTTGGAAATAAAAAAAAAAACAATCATATTCCATCTTAGTTTTACGTTACGGGGTTGAATTGTTAAGCTTGACCGCATCCTTCCTAACTATAATAAAATCAAAAAATGTAAATAAAGGAAAATATAGCTTCTTTTGCACCATGCTGAGAAAGAGAGCTGAATGATGTCACTTTCCGTCTGGATGTCATATAAGAGTAGACTCTGAATTGCTGTAGGTGGAGAATTGCTGGTGTGACAGGGTTGAGTTTATATTGAGGGACATAACTTTGTAGCCTGTTTTTTATTAAAAAATCTTATTTTTTATTTATCACAAGTAAATAACACAAATAAATAGTTGTAATACTAAAAAAAAATTAAACACTGTGTCTACATGCAATTTCAAAGAAGTGCCTCGGGGACATGACAAATAGCTTGGCTTGTGACAGACATATTATATTTTTTATGCTAAAGCTGCATTTAATGTATTTTTTTATTCATTATAATGTACAAAGTAGATCAATGAAAAATGCTTTTAACATGTAATTTAAGTCGACAACCACTATAAAAAAATATGGGGGACTGAAATATTACAGAACGCCAGGAATGACTTAATTATATCTAAGATAATTTTGTAAAACAATATGTTTTGTTAAATGTATAATGTATAAATAGTTCCATCACATCAGCTGAGGCAAAAAGCAATAATGCAGCCATTTCTTCTTGTAGTGTTGATATGGCTGTTTTGAAAGAATTTGTGTGAAAGGCATCAGGAACTTCTGGGAACTGCACAACTCTGTGTAATGTTTTCACACTTGCATGCGTCGATTTTATTTTTCAATCATTTTTACATTCATTAATTTTATCAGCTCTCATTGTGATCATTTTCTCTTTATTGGTTATACCTCACAATCACAAACACTCACAACTGGTTCCATTCTTTTGAATTGTGTGGGTTATTGAGCCAGGCTTCCATTCGATTCCTGATTTTGCTCCGCGAGCAAAGGGCAGGAGTGGGCGTGTCCAGCAGGGGAGAAGGAGGGCAGTGAACAACTGTTGTCAGTTAGCTCACAGAATAAAACACGTGATTTTATAGTTTATAAAGTTAAAATGCAAAGAAATAAACAGTAATGTAATGCCCGGCTACATTTGTTATTCGTAATTTCATATACACTTAACCACAATTTATATCATTATAAAGATAATCATGTTCATATAAACTCTATAATTGAAGACTTTTCCCTTAATCCCCTTGTCTGAACCATACGTCTGAATGCAGGCTCAGTGCAGCAGGCCTCTTGCCCTGTCTATTTCAACCATTAGCCCTGTTGGTAATCTAGAGGATTTAGGCGAACACAACAGCACGGCGATGTGTCTAAATGTGAACAAACTCCTGATAAAAGACAATGTCCGCCATTCTCCAATTCTCGTACTGCTCTTCCGTCAAAAATGCTTGCTGCACACACAGCTTTGCTATATTGGCCCTGACAGGATCTTAGGGAAAAACATGCAACAAACACTGTGGATCATGATAACAAACACATACGAGCCTTCATGAATGGCTAAATACTGTGTGCTGTGGGTCTGTGGATGCGGTCTCACCCATCAACGTAGGATCTCACAGCTTCGCGCTGGCAGGTCTGTCTTGCCTTCGGAAAGCATGTAGCACATATTGCGCTACGTCGCCGATTTTGATCCCGCCTCAAAAATCTTTTAAAAATTTTGTCAGCTGAAATTAGCTGACAAAAGCTCAAAATTATCCAGTTTCCCCCACAATTACAGCTAACAGGTGCTAACATTGTCTTAACTGATGCTCAACACACAAATCTGTTAACATCTCAAAAAAAGTACTCAAGGGTTTGGTGAACCTTTAAAGGCAAACTCACCTCACCAGTAGTAAGCCGTTAGTGTTCTCAAGTCTTCATGTCTTAGTGTACAAGACACAACTATCTCTGTTTGTGGACTTGTCCACAAAAACTTCACTTATAGAATTAATATAATCAAGTTATATATATACACAAAAAAGCAATTGTCATCTCGCCAAAAAAGACATGGATTGTTGTGACTTATTGAAAAGTACTGAAGTTGTTACATAACTTACTTGGTTAGACATGGTCATCTCACATAATTTCCTGTATTTGGGCAGATTCTTCTCTGCTTCATCCTTCCTGTGTTAGGACAGGTTCTTCTGTTTTATCCATCTTTTATGGTTTTGCTTTTTTTTTTGGGGGGGGGGGGGGGGGTCTTTTTTGGGAACTGAATAGTACTTTGACTGTTCATCTTTTTTGTGGTTCTTTCTGGTTCTTTTCCATTGTAGCCCAACTTTCCCCTGCAAACACCACATTCTTATTTGGCCTCATTGGCCTCACAAGGAGCTCCTCTGGTAAACTATGGTTAAGCATGTGCTCTCTGTATCTACCTTTGAGAGATGCATACATTCTCTGAATGAACTCTGCTGGTCTGAGTTTTCTTTTTGTGTGAAGAATTGAATGTTCCTACACCAAACCATGTTTCCACATGGCAGTTTGTGTCTCTTGTCTTGGCAGAATCTAATGTGTGGCTTGTGTTCTCCTTGTTTAATGCAAGTTTCTGCAAATCTCCCAGAAGTGTCCCACTCCACAAAGGGGAGATTCCCATTAGGGTAGATTCCCAGTTGTCCATAAAGATAATGGGGACTCCTGGACAGTCTTAAGCATTGCTGCTATCACCTTCCCCATTTTCCTCAGATTCGACTATGAGTTTTGCTTTCTCAAAGGCTTTTTTTGAACAGACTTTAGTATGGAGATCGGCCCACAATTGTTTTAGCTGACCTTCTTTCTTCCTCATTCTCCCACATGTCGAAGTAGTCTTCATCTGTAAACTCTTCTATGGGTTCCTCTTGGTGTTTATTCAGGGCATCAATAAATGCACTGCTGCTACTGACTGTTGCAGTCTCAGCAGTCTCATGGCTGGCCAAAAGCACAAGTCCTTTATCATCAGTTTTTCTTGCCAAATGCTAATGCAAATGCTTACAGCCTTGATAATGTGGGCAGAACAGAGATGCTAAACAGTGATTTGTTTTATCTGCACACGTCTTGATTTTCTTGCAAACGGCATAAGTCCACTCCAGGTATGCATCAATGTTGTGTCTATTGAAGGCAAGAACAACAACTTGCATCAAGGCACAGATGTAGTCCATTTCCACTTTTTGAACTCTGACCCTTGTGTACTTTGACAGTCAAAAAGCCATTGGAGGAATACTGTGCTCATTGCTCAGCATCTCACACACTGGAAGAGCTGGAGCATCTGTCTTCTCCAGGCAAAGTGAGTGCATAGTACAGCACTCTTTTGCTTTGCTCTAGGATCTTTGATACCACACCTCCTGTTGCATCAAGATATAATGACACAGCACACTTTTTTTCCCTGGTAATGAACCAGGATGCTGATACCTAATTTTGTATAAAGGTGAGCACCAAATAGGTTTATTTGGAAGTGTTGGATGTAACCAGCAATATCATACAAGTTGGTGTCACACTCTTTAATGATATGCTGAGTTGAATGCATCTCCAATTGTACATTTTCATGTACAGGCATGTCCTTTTTCACTTCAGCATTGACCTTCAGGATATTTTTTATTTATATTTTGTGTCAGGTTACCAGACATTAGCTCTTAAATGGGTGATCTGAGTCTTTCGTAGTACACCTCACTTACACCCTGAGATATCACTCTTGCTAATTTTCCTTGCCCTATGTTGCTTGCTGGTCTAAACTGTTTTTCTTTTCTTTTTTTTTACATGGCATATTGATCCAGTAAGCCTGATTTACATGGTAATGCTGAAACAAAGTTGATTAGGCTTTTTTTGCATTGTGAAACTGTACCGGCCACATTTTCCTTTGGCTGCCAACACAACATATGTACCGGTAGGTAAAAAAATGTTTTAGGGAACAGCAAGGATATTTATGCTGAAACTGTTTGTATGGCACAGTATGTTGGTCCGTGGTTTTTAAAGAGTGGTTTAAATTTTCTTCCAGTCTTTGGGAGATATCACAATTCAGAATTTTACTAGAGTGAATGGGATCTTTCTGTACTTTCTTTTTTCATTGTTGGATGACTTGCTTGATCCATCAGAATTGAAGGGTTCTGACCCATTCCCCACAAGTCATTTTTTGTCTGAGTTTGACTTATTTATTCATTTATTTTTTGCTGAACAGTTCATATGCGAGTCGTTGGGATAATTAGGTAAAAATAAACGAATATAATAAGACAATGAAAGTGGTTTTTGACCTTACATGCATTTCAGACTGTTGTTGGAGACCCCCAAAACCAAAATGTTTTAATGCCTAACAGGGGCTCATATTTCCATTCTGCAAGTTAATCTCTACTCAAATGCATCTGGACTACATCTAATCAAATCTGTAAATAAATATGAATTCATTGAAATTCATGGCAGTGATTTAGACTCTTTATGCAAAGTACCAATTGAAACTTCTGTAAAATACTTAGGAATTACTGTTGCTAAAGACAGTAATCTTAATATTCAGATTAATTTTGTAAATCAATTTCTAAAAGCAAAAAAAAAAAAAATAATAATAATAATTCTTAATGGTTGGTGGGAAAGGGATGTCTCAATATTTGGATGAATTATATTAACCAAAAGGGAATTGTTATCTAGATGTGTTTATCGAGCCTCTCACTAGCTATCCCCCCACATTTAATAAAATAGAACAGGTGTTTAATTTTTAATTTTGTCTGGAAAAACAAGTATCTCTGCATTAAAAAAAAAATAGACTTGGTTCACAGATGTAAGGAAGGGGGCCATCATTTTATTGACATGGAATTAATGAACTAGATTCTTAAAAAATGCAATGGCTAAGATAATTTCTTTGTAACACAAACTTAAAGTTACTTCTGCAGTATTTTGCAAAATAGGTGCTTTTGACTTTGATCAGATGTGCTTTTGTACCGTCTAAACTTTGTGTCCCATTATGCTGAAAGCAAACCTTTTCCCACAATTTCAGTTCTCATAAGACTTGTTTATGGAACAATTGTTTTATTTTACATCAAAATAAGTCTTTGTTTAAGGAAAAATTGGTTAAAAATTATATTTTTTATCTTTACTGGATATGATGAATAGCCACTGTGACATTCTTAATTACAATAACTTCTGCTTAAAACATGGTTTCGCTTGTCACCCTAAATAATTTTACACAATTATTAATGCTATTCCTAAAAACATCATAGTATTGATCAGAGATATTCTTTCATACTATTCTGTACTGTTTTCTCTTTCATCTCTGTTTTGGAGACACAAAATGTAATAATTTTATAAGGAATATTCTTATTCAAAGGCTTCATCCTAATCAGCTCAGACCTTATTTCATTTTGAAAGATTTTAATTCACAGGAATTCGGGAAAAAAAAGAGTTACATTTCTTATCCAATTCTTCCCTAAATTAAAGAGCTTCAGTTTAGAATGATTAATGTGTATCCATCAAAAGAATTCCTGAAATTAAAATGTAATACTGATGATAAATCTTATCAATTTTGTGAAAGTGATATTGAAATCACTGAGCATATTTTCTACAATTGCAAATACTCAAGAGTTATTTGGGCTCATGTACATGACAGAATGTCTCATGTCAATATCCATGTAAACCCTTTTTGCTAATAACTAGTTAAATTTGGTGTAACTAAAAAAAAGTGTATAATAACCTTTTATGCTTTGTAAAATTCTTCATTCATAAATGCAGGTTTTTATGAAAAAAAGGGGAAGATACACATTTTACCCAAACATTTTACCTGTTATTAATGAACTTGCTATTATGGTTTTATCACTTAGTACTTTGTCAAATAATAAAGCCACTAAAGTAGCTTTTTTTTGTCAGCAAATTCTGTCCCCTATAGGGCCTTCTCAACCCTTTAAAGCTTTATATTGTATATTTATATATTTTTTATTTATTTTTAACGTTAAATACAATTTTCATTTTCATATGCTGCTTTTTTTCTATATTTGTGTCTGCCTATTGTTGTAATTGTATTACTTCATGCTTGTTTATGCATGTAAGGCCTACTGTTTTGTACATTTATTTTGAACATTTATTGAAAAAAAAAGTTAGATCTAGTCTATAATCCCAATTTATTTATTTATTTGTTTTTAAAATGTTGGTGGGTTAGAGTTTCTTTTAATGTGTGACTTTAAGATTAATAGACTCATATTATGCTGTCTACATACACACACACCACTTACAGACAGTCCACAATATAATCAGCCCACATGAGCAGTACAATATGTTTTGCATATAAATAATAATTGAATTTATAGATAGCTGAAGTGCTTCAGTAGTCTGTTGAGTACTGGAATTAGCATGTAAGCTAACAAATCACTCATGTTCTCATTCACAATAGCAACACTGGGTTTCCCATACACAGATTTATTTGTAGTAATGTGGGAGTTTTCACACTAACGTATCTTGTTGTCTACAGAAAGTTTAATTGTCTTCATGAAGAAAACTTGTTTCTTTTCTCAAATCAGTCAATCAAAATTAAAGTGTATTGTTTTGAAACCAAAGTCTTCATTTCTTACCACAACACATCAAGTCAAAATCTCATAATCTGACACAAATCTGATCTGTGGTAAATGGCAAATGGCATTGTGTAGTCTGAACAGGGTTTTAGGGAGTCTGCATCAGTCGCTCACTGTCATTGCCTCATGGCGAGTTCACACCGGCCGAGTTTAGGTGGACTTTCATTTGCCAACAAGTTTTGTGAAACTGCAGACAAAAGCCCAAAACTGGAGGCAAATCGGTGTTTGTTCACACGAGTGACAATCAAACAATGTGAATGATCAAAAAAACAGTCTAAGGGTGTAGGACAGTTTCTCATCCTTAATCTTTCTAATTTTCTTTTCAGTGCCAACCAATTGATGGATGTGTGCAATGTGCAAAAATATGGTTATTGGTTCATTATAAAGTTGAAACTCTAACAACCTGGTACTGCGCTGTGACCCATGATCTACACTACAAAAAAAAGTCTTCACCTCTTTAGTTATTGAGTTTAAATCTTCAGGTGTTCAAAGGGTTTTATTTCCAATAACTTGACATGTATTCAAGAGTTCGCACTTGTTTGGCATGCTGTCCTGGGGGACAGCCCTAAGCTCCGCTGGACAAAGGCTCAATTTTGAGGACTCTGATCTCCATTGTGAAGCTTTATGTGAGTGTTGAGGCTTTTTTTATATTTAAAGCCCTTTCCACACTCACTGCATCTAAAACCATCCTCTCCTGAGTGAGTCTTCATGTGGTTCCTAATTGTGTCTTTGCGTGTGAGACTCTTTCCACATTGATCACATGTGAACACTATGGTTCCAGTGTGACCATTCATGTGGTTCTTGAGGCTAGTTTTGGTTGTGAAGCTCTTTCCACACTGAGCACATGTAAATGGCTTCTCTCCAGTGTGACTTATCATGTGGTTATTGAGTGCACTTTTACATCTGAAACTTTTACCACACTCTGTGCATGTGTAAGGTTTCTCTCCAGTGTGAATCCTCATGTGGAGGTCAAGGTCTTGCTTTTGAGCAAAACTTTTCCCACACTGTGGGCAAGTAAAACTTCTGCCTCCATTGTGAGTTCTTATGTGGGCTTCAAGGTTGCTATTCTGCTTAAAACTCTTTCCACACTGAGGGCAAGAGTAAGGCCTCTCCCCAGTGTGAATTCTCATGTGCACTACCAAGTTTGCTGATTGATAGAAGCTTTTTCCACACTGTTGGCATGTGTACGGCCTCTCTCCAGTGTGAATTCTCATGTGCGCTGCCAAGTTTGCTGATTGATAGAAGCTTTTTCCACACTGTTGGCATGTGTACGGCCTCTCTCCAGTGTGAATTCTCATGTGCGCTGCCAAGTTTCCTGTAGTATAGAAGCATTGTCCACACTGTTGGCATGTGTAGGGCCTCTCTCCAGTGTGAGTTCTCATGTGGACTTTAAGGTTGCCATTATGCTTAAAACTCTTTCCACACTGAGGGCAAGAGTAAGGCTTCTCCCCAGTGTGAAGTCTCATGTGCACTACCAAGTTTCCACTAGTACAGAAGCATTGTCCACACTGTTGGCATGTGTAGGGCTTCTCTCCAGTGTGAATTCTCATGTGGATTTGAAGGTTGTGTTTTCGCCTGAAACGGTTTCCACACTGACGACAAGTTAAATTACACGCAGATTCGGATTTCCGAGGTCTTCGTCGTGATGAAGTCTTTTTAGTCAGTGTGGGTTTTTCATCAGTTGTTGTTTCTTGGTGTTTCTCAAACTGTTTCTCTTCCATCTTATTCTGTTGATGAGTCTCTTCTTTCAGCACCATCAGATCTTAAAAAAAAAAGTGAACGTTAGTATAATGGCACAAATCAACAAGCATGAAATGGATGTTTTACCCAAAAATTAAAAAGACCTTATCATTTACTCTCGGTCATGTGGTTTTAAACATTTCCTTTCTTCAGGAAAGTAAAGAAAGCCAGCGTTTTTTAAATTTTTTTATTATTTATTTTAAATATCTTCTTTATAGGTTTAAAACCACACAAGGGAGAGTGTGGCGAGGCATAATGGAATACAGGTTCCAAAGAATATGGCAGAGCACTTATGTGCAAAATGTAATTTATTTACAGTGTCCATTCCTCTTTACAGTCAATCCATAAATGACCATAAATATGTACAAGTGATATCTGTAAAAAAAAAAAAAGATATCAGTAAAATAAAGAAACAAAAAAAAACAAGAAACTAAATATATACATGCAGAAATTATCACTCTTTGCTGTTAAACCTTCCACAAAAAGGTACAGCACACTAGCACTATTTGCCTCCCGCTGCAAAAGACTAGCTAAAAGACTCCACTAAATTTCCTTGGGTGAGTATTAAAATATTGCACTTTTATAGATGATCACATACATAACATTTAGATAATCTCCAGTATCATAACAGGTGTATTGAACGATAATAATACATCATATTGATCAATACATCTGTCAGTTCATGTATTTTCCTATTACTCTGGTTTTGTATTCCCAGCTCTCCCCCAAAACAGGCAACGTTAAGACAGTCCAGTTATCGGAGTGATCGTGCATGCAAAGTGCGGAAGTTTAGCGTTATCAAACTTTCTAACCAGCTACAGGAGCTGCCCGTTGCTTCCAGTAACCTGGACTGCATAAGTTCAATAAATATCTATGTGTAACCTATTTGGTGTCTGTGTGTGTATATTGGGAATATCAACAAGTGAATGTATGTATGTGTGCGTTATATATGCAAAGATAATATTATCCCAATCTTTGTGTGCATCCAAGGGTTGAGAATGGCAGAATCACTGATGGTTATTAGACTATGTGTAAATGAAATGATGGACTGTCGCGATTGTAAGAAAAATTAGTAAATGGTGAGGAAATTTTAATTTCTGGGTGAACTATCCCTTTTAAGCATAGATCTCAAACTCCATTCCTGGAGGGCTGCAGCTCTGCACAGTTTTGCTTTAACCCTAATCAAACACAGCTGATCCAACCAAGGTCTTTGGAACTACTAGAGATGATTTCATACATCCTAAGTCTTTCAGAATATGCAGTCTCCTGCATATGCATAAGGACTCCCGGATGCCCACACACGAATAATAATCTTCCGGAAATTGCACGTCTCCCCCTGGTCCTCAAATAGGTCACACACCCCTCTCCAAAGCATCCCTCCCTGCCCTAAAAGGGCACCTATGGTGAAAAATCTGCTTTTCAAGATGTTTAAACAGATATGTGTGTAGATATAATGTTTAGACCATCATATTGGGGTGATATAAACACACCCAGTGCTTTTTTTTCAGTTTAACAACATAAAAATGATGGACCAATTGGAGCGGTTTTTAGACTGACCGCAAACTGACGTAGGAGTGCTGTCCCCTTGCCCACTGAATTGATTGACAGCTGCGTATTAACATGTCCCGGTAGTTACGTGTATAATCATTTCAACAAAAAAGGAGGAGTGCAAAGCAACCAGGAAAAAAGGGTCTGTTCAGTTTGTTAGGATCATCAATCATCATCAAATGTGATCAAGAGTGAGTTTGACATGTTTAAAATGTTTAAATAACAGCACGTGTGTAATGAATTACAGAGATTTACTTCAGATTTACTTTATCAGCACAGCAGCATGTCAGAACAATTATAAAAGAAGACGCTTTAATCCCGGTTTGTGGACGTTAAATCAGGTTTATTTTGTACATTAACATAACAGATATCCATACAACAGTGGAGATTAACCTGTATCCTGTCATATATGCGTGAAAAATGAGTGCAAAGCTAAATGCACGCGCTGTCTGTGTGTGTGCGCGTCAACTTTGTAACGACATTGTGTGTGACTCATCGTTAAGTTGACTCAACACAACAAATGCAACAAATACTCATTGGTAAAGTTCTTACAGTAGCATTTCTCATAAACGCTATATGAGATGTGCTTTATGTCTGTCTTGTCTGATGCAGCCGAGGGAGGAGATTAAAAGCACCTAGAAACAGTGGGCGGGGAGGACTAGCCTTAAAGGTGCAGTACAACAACACAGCCACCTGGTGCAAAAATGTATAAAATAAAATCTTATAACAGGTATTCATTCATTCATTCATTCATTTTCTTGTCGGCTTAGTCCCTTTATTAATCTGAGGTCGTCACAGTGGAATGAACCGCCAACCTATCCAGCAAGTTTTTTATGCAGCGGATGCCCTTCCAGCCGCAACCAATCCCTGGGAAACAGCCACACACACACATACACTATGGACAATTTAGCCTACCCAATTCACCTGTGCCGCATGTCTTTGGACTGTGGGGGAAACCGGAGCATGCAGAGGAAACCCACACGAACACAGGGAGAACATGCAAACTCCACACAGAAATGCCAACTGACCCAGCCATGGCTCAAACCAGCGACCTTCTTGCTGTGAGGCGACAGCACTACCTACTGTGCCACTGACTCACCCCTCTTTGATTTTTATACATCTTCACATTCAAATAGGATGCAGAACCATGCCATCACCTCCCTTACCACCCCATCACAATAAAAAAATTGATACATGCAAACCCCACACAGAAACGCCAACAAGTTGAGCTAAAAACTTTCTGGAGACACAAAAGACTCATATTAAATCTGAAAAAAGGGCTAACCTATGTACCCTTTAAATGCAATTGATCAAATGCACTTGCTCTAGAGTACTCATGTTGTGTTTCCTCATGTGTGTCCTCCACTAAATTAAAAAAAATTTGAACCTGCTTGAAAAACCCGATTGACACAAATCCTGCATGTTCATAGCAAGTACGTATAATTCACACTCATATTTGTGAGTTTGCATTATTGAATATAACTTATGCAAATATTTAATGCCTCGTTTGCTATAAACTAGAGAGATAAGGAGATGGCAAGATGGCATACTTTGCAACTTGTTTTCATTCATTTGTACTTTGTTTTCTTGCCTTTGTGCATGTCCTGAGGCTTAGCTGAAGACCTACGTGGTGACATTTTATATACCCGTCAAGATGCAGAAATGCCATCTAAAAAGGTGACCTGCTGTTTGTCCAATCAGGGACAGTGACAACGCAAATTTATAAATAATAATGTTAACCTGAGGTTTGCAAATGTGAACTGTTTGTTTATTTGTGGATTATTTGTTAACCGCAGGTATAGCATGAGCAGTATGAAACGTATTTACAGATAACCCAGGATTTTGTTTATCAAGTGTTAGAATGACCTAGGGTTAAAAATTTGAAGTGTGAAAAGCCCTAAAAATAATCAGCATGAGCTCTCTAGGTAACCAGAGTACAATGACAAACAGCGACAATTGACAACAGGCCCGTGCAGAGACTGTCCAAAGGGCATGTGCAGGATAAATTTTTGGAAGAGCGGGAGGGGGGGTTTGGGGGGGGGGGGGGTGTTGTTGTCGCACGCGTACTCAAGATCAGTGTTGTCGTGCGCCTACTAAAGGGCGGGACGGAGGGTGCGTCGCGGGGGCACTTTTGATCATTTTGGAAGGGCACTTTCTATCCAAGACTAAAAAGGGCATGTGCACTGCACAGGTTGAGCCCTATGTGTGCACGTGCCTGATTGACAATCATGTTATGGTAGCGACCTGATGTCAAATGCTATTGTTTTAGTACTTCAGTTGCCTACTGAGAAATGAAAGTTGCCTATTGTCTTTTGGAGAACTGACCATGAGTAATAAACGGCTACTTGCTTAACAAACAGGTGTGTTCATGACTATACATAGAAAGAAAAATTAGAAAATATGACTTTGCTACAACAAGCAGCATTAGGCATGGACCAGTATAAGATTCTGACAGTATGATAACCTTGAATGAAAAATATCACAATTTCACGGTACTGTGATTACTGCTCTAAAATATATTCTTTTAAATGTAAAAAACAAATACTTTCTTCCCTTAGAACACAATATATTTTCATTTGAGAAATTTTTAAAGTATGTTGAAGCACTAAACATGTCAGGCTAAATAGTTCTAATCCATTGACTTCTGCTGTCTTCATTTGTTTCAAAAACACAGATTTCTTTACAATTTAAAACAGCATCTTTGGATATCTTTTCTGCTGGAGATACTTTTGTCCTGAAAACCTTAAAACAAAACAATAATAATAAAAAAAACAACTTACATGTACCGTAGGTACGGTACAGCAGAGCATTTTGGCGGTTTTAAAACCTTTACTTTTCCACACTGTGGTATACCTTGAAAGTGGTTATTGTCCCATCCCTAAGCAGCATAACATAATTCTTTAAAAAGTCTCAAGCAAAAAGATTCCAATGGCGCCGCCTGCTGGTACGTAAAGAATATGGTCAATACTGACAAACTTCACACTCAAATGTTTGCATATCATCAGCATGCTGTAATCCATTTCTTAAGCAGCAAAAGTCTTTTATAGATAGTTTGTTGGCCAGTTGTAGTCAGTGCAATGCTAAACGTTATTGTTCCACTATATTTTGTTAGTTTTGTCTCACGTCGTCCCACAACAACAACATATAGTTTAGAATACTGTACAATGTTTTATAGTAAGTAATTATTTTAGTGTCCATTTCTTTCAGCATATTTAATATTGGGGAAATCCACGTTTTCTGAAATACTTTAAACCAGGGTTCCTACAGGTTTCACCAAGTTAAATTTAGGACTTTTTAAGACCATTATGAATGAAATTGTAGACACATAAAGGGCTAAAGGCTAAGGAATTTTTCAAATGGCCCAGATGAAAAAGACCCAAAATTTTAAAGATTTTTATTTGCCCTATCAAAAAGATGTTATAATTTAACACAATTAATGATACAATAATAAATGAATAATAATAAATGAAAATA